GGAGCGAGTGACTCACAGTTAATGATCAAGACAAAACAATCAAATCTAAATTGATGAATGAAACGCAACTGTATAAAATCAGTTTGATTGAATGCCGATCTACATACGCACGGAAATAAGGTGTGCTGTATACAAAATACAACCAGTTGGTCTGTTTGCTGAATAATCACCGTATTGAGAATGAGTACGTCTACCTGCGACCTCTCATTCGCCATAGTCCATCTGCCAGTTCTACCTATTCTGTCAGTAAATTAACTACTCACTTCATAAATAAACATTAACACCAGCAGTATACGGTACTAAAATCACTTCTGTATTAGAACCTATCATACTCGTGTCTGACGATATGTCGATTTGTTTAGTGTATTCTGGATGAGTAGAGTATGAGTGGACATGACTCACAAGTGATTTGTCGAATCACTGGAGCAATATTTGTGCGATTACTTTTTATGAGTTCGAAGGCACATATTAAAAGAGTCATAAAATTTTGTGATATTTGCCCTTCAATAATACCGCATAATTATCGAATAGATATACACTCACAGACAGATGCATACAGGCAAAAATAATTAGTAAATATGTATACAATTATAAATTGGGGCCATAAATTCTGAATGCAAGTACAATTTCAGATGAAACGATTACTTATAGTGGTTTCAGAAGAAGATGAACGAAAACATCAGTGGATTAAATTTTTTTAAGCAGTGAATATCTATAGGGTATCTGAGTGAATATCTATAGCGTGATCATGAAGAAACGAACGTTTCGCCATCTTCCATACCCTACACAATATTCATAACTTAATGTGCTTTAACTCAATGAATTCAAGACAATTTACCATCAACTATTTCTTTAAAAGTGTAAGTGTGCTTCCCTATCCAGTTGTCATAATCTTGGACAGGTATATCTTCTTAGTATTGAATATGCTTGTTTAAGATTGTTTTGTCTTGCGTCTCATTACGAAAATTGATGTCATAATCTTAAAATGATTCTTAATGTTAACCATGTTACAAAAATATGACACCATGATCGTTTCTGATATGCCCTTGCTTTCTTCCTTCCTAATTCAGTTTGATTGAATTGCTGAACCTTGAGAGCCCAAATGAAAATTTACCATTGTTTATGCTATTTTAAGTAGCACTGTTCCCAAATTTCTTCTCAACGTGTGCACAACAAAACGTGAAAATTTCAAATATATTCTAAAACGTTGGATATTTTCCTCACATTCTGGAACAAACAAACGTGCATCAATCCATTTTGAATAATCCTTGATGACTTTTAAACAATGTGATATATTTCAGTAAAAATATATAAAATGTACATAAATATAAGATGTTGTTAATATGTATTCTCTTGCAATGTGAAGCAAACACGAACGTGTCTAAAAAGAGCACTGAAGACACGTTACTTAAAGAAACTTAAATGCGTAACAGTAATGAATTTTAATCACAAAACAAATTCCACAATAATTTCATGTACACGTTGAAACCCACCGGTGCCTCAAGCACGTATTGCATTTAAGATGACAGCACCATACGAATTGACAGTCGCATTGATACGAAATCAGTTCGTGTGAAACCTGAAACTACGCAGAGTTAGCAAAATGCATTTACAAGAACGAAGATGATTCCCATCAAAATACATATTTTCAATATTCACTATCGTCTCTCATAGCTCCTCTGTCTCGCTTCAATTGCATTTCCAGTGCTTCCTACTGTATTGTCTCTATGTCTTGATTCTCTCATATCATATCAATAACGAAGAGCAAAAACAGTGCATTACGGTAGGGTCCTCAAATAAAGACCATGAAATATTCGCACTGGAAAATAACAAATTAAAGGAAATTAATAATTGCACACAATCACTGCTGATAGTTCATATAAATGACATTTCTAGTGCTTAATTGGACTGATAGAATGCATCAATCGATAAATAGAAACTTGAAAAGGCATGATTGACTATCGTTAGTTATAGACATTATATAAACAATAAAAACAAGAATTGTGATGATCCATTCTATCAATTACAAGGCAATCAACCAAACACAAACATTCTCATTCCGTTTACGCATCCCATAAAATTACATCCATCTTCTTCGCAGCTGTTTATTCATAAAACGAGTCGTTGCTCATTCCTTCTTGCAATTCAATTATTAATTTGAGATTGATCTCTTCATGTAATTTGCTTCACTTATTTCAATTTTCTCATGTATAAATCAAATCATATATTCATTCATTGAAAGCATCCAAGCTATAAAACATTCCAAAGTGCATCGAAATCGAATGAAACATTTGGGATTCGGAGGAATAAACAGAAGGTTTCCATAATTATCAAATGTTTGCTTCGCACTCATAAAGATTCTGATGCGTTAGCAGATCATATTCAATTCACGGCAGTGGCAGTAATCAGAAGATGCGACTGCGATGAATTACATCTAAGCTCAGGCTTACACTGATCGTGAGCTTCATACCGTGGAATCATCTACTCATTCAACATCCTGGTATGAACGAACCATTTGTTCGTTTGACACTTAACTCGATATCAGCCTAAGTCTAAACGTAATTTATCGCAATAACCTCTTCTGAATAACACCAATTGATTCAGTGTTCTTGTACGGTCACAATTGCAACTGACGGACTGCAGAGGTTTCCTTCCCACCGTAAAGATAGAAACGTCCCATGAAGAGGCTTCTCTTTACCTTCTAATCTTTAAGTAGACGAAAAAGAGTTATGAAAGTTTGTTCAAAGCAAAACTCCTACAGTCTATGCAAGAATATCGAAATTGTTTGGCATATTGTGTCTGAATTCAGTATCAGCAAGTATGCATATATATGGCCAAAAATAATTTTTATCCTACACAAATTTGTTTGCTTTCAACAGTGTCTTTATGTTCAACGTGTGATATCCCATTTTTGCGAAGAAAAAAATTTCTGAATTAATCGCAGATTGCATTTCAACTGGAAGAAACGAGGGCAGTTTGGATTATGAGCGGTTAGATCATCGTACCGCTTGAGTACAATAGCGATGCAGCGTTTAGGGTTGAATTGAGTACTGGAAAGAAATGATCTCATATTTCATTTCAGTGTCAGGTACTTGGACAGATCAGCTGCAAGTGAACTCCATAGACAGAAAAGATTAGCTCATGTTAGCTCATGCATTGCAGACTGATTCGTTGCAGTGAAATTTTCTCAAAACCGACAAAAAAGTGTATATCAATGATATTTCCCATGGATTATCATCGAAAACAACTACGTGATAATATTTTGAGTAACTTCAGCACGCATTCAGATTGCAAATATAGCGGTATTTTGAGTGAATGTCAGTGTTGCTGTGCATGTTCGAAAAACCGCAATGAGTGAGTGCATCCAATTTTCAACGATTTATGGCGTAATCACATTGTAAACCAATTGTTCGACAAACCGGATTTTGTAATTGAATGTGAAATTGCCCTATTCCTAGTTGATTTCTGGCTGTTCGAGTACGTGTTCTTTATTTCGATCAAATCGCTTCATGAGTAAATGCGGAATTTCGCAAAATGTTAACATAGCAAAATGAGAATTCATGAAAAAAAGGTGAGGAAGTTTCACTTGAAAATAGCAAAACAATAGCAAGACGGCAATTACATTAATTTTCCAAAATTTGCCCTGCACAAACATTTTTCAGCTCTCCAGGAAAAAAACTGTTTTGACTGCTTACAGAAAAAATTGCTTTGCTGACTGCTAAACGTGCTGACTAAAGACTGCTAAACCAACTGATTTAATTTTGCTCTCTCGTCTTAACAAAAATTTTCTAGATAGCTCAAAGATTCCGATGTCATCCCATATGATTTTTTTGAAACCTCATTCTAATTGTATGAAACAAGCAAAATACCAATCCATTGTAGAATGCATAATTTATCAAGAACTTCATCAATTACAAATTCCTCTTTCTGTGAAAATTTTTCTACATCTAATCGTAGTCAATCTTTACAAGTGATCTTCAAAGTATCCTTCAGATAGTCTTAGCCTTTAAGGCATATACCACAAGAATGATATCCGGACAACACATTTCAGGAACTGAAACAATTACGGGGTTATGTGCAAGTGTGCATTCCCTGCATGGCACTGGTGTATGATTTCAGCATAATGTACGTGGTGATACTGCAATATTACCGTGCGACGAGACATTCGAACTAAACTTATGTTTGTACGATCTTCAATATTATCACTTGAGTATTTGTGCAAGACACCGAAGGTGACAACAAAAAAAAATTAGATATGCTGATTCACGAAAGGTTCATAGAATTTCGATTGAACTCTATTCTATGTTCATTCACACACTTTTACATTCTTAATTTTTTCGACCAGAATATCCGGCAACAGTAACGAAAGAGGCTGTAAATTACATGTGAAATCCATACGTATACAAGCTCACTTCAAATGAATGCATCATGATCACAAAAAAGCAATCTGTTGATCAAAAGAATGAGAAAGCATTCACTAAATGAATGGCATCTTTTGCTGCTAGAAAGAAGTTATTCATATGCAAAATGTTGTGTTTTTGAGAAATGGTTGTGCAGCACACGCTTGGATTATTATTTGGTCATATCTTGAGAAAATTCACGTAACAATTTAACATCAAGTTAATGTAAGGTCAGTAGATATTGATCGTGTCTACTGCTTTAAGTGACATTTGAACAACGTAATCATCGCTAGTAAAGGCATGGACAAAATGAAAAGCTGCTGAGAAGTGAACATGGAACGTTGGACAATAGAGCATCTGATTCTAGAATTTTCTGGCCTTTATGGATACATGATTTTTCAGAAGGGTATTTGAAATGTTTTTTTTTCGATTAAAATATCTGAATTATTTGAAATTTCTCCTTCCGTCGACATTGCCAGCTGAACCAAGCCTTTGAGTTTTTTTTAGCTGTTTACATTAGTTGTGCATAAGAAATGACTCCTCAAAAGCAAAATCAATAACGAAGGATGGAACATTTAAATACCTTCAAGTAATCAACTATCAACCAAAAGCTTGATTATTTGAAGGTATTTTAAGGAACGAGAAGTGAAAATATTGTCCAAAAAAACGAGCCTTGAATGGATGACCACAACATAATAAACCACAGTCTCCAACACTGCTTGTCTCATTACGCCAGTTGCAGACTCTATTCGTGATGCGCATTGTTAGGCATGGATCTGGACTGTCTTCAACGAATACCAGCTCAGCATTCCGCGCACGAGTATTCTCTTCTACTAAGCGTTTGGCCTTAACATCAATGATTAGCATATTCGCTAGCCAATATCAATTTGAGCAGTTACTGGGATTGCTAGTCAATCTCAATAACTGCTCAAATTTTGATACGGAAACGAAAATTTCAATACTGATAATAGTTTATGGAAAGCAAAACATTAATGCGGAAGTCGAAATGCCATTTAGATTTTCAATTCTTCGAATCAGAACCTCTCGACATCCACTATTTTGAATGACCATGCAAATCGGCCGTCCACAAAAACGACCAGAGCGTTTCGCAATGAATTAAAGTGCATGTGGAAACGTATCTAAAGTTATAAGAGCAACGACAAAACAAGCACGAATTTACAGTGTCTGCGTCGAGGCATGGTTCCAGGCACCTCTTGACATTCAAAATTCCCCTTTTGCTCTTTCATGAGAAAATCAATCAACTATTTATTTCTAATTTTACTATTAAAAAAGTACAAAATTTTCATTTTGAACAATGTTGAATACAGTTCCTGAATCTATAGTGATCGATGTGCTCATTTTGTGCAAATTGACTGCTGATTCAACATCTTAAAAAGCTTCAGTAGATGCGGGTGAATATGAGAATTTCTAAAAATTTCTTGTGATTTTGGATTGAGGTTCAAATTCTTTCAACTGCTGAATCATTTTATCTTTTGCTCAGATGAAAATCTTCTTCGATGCTCATTCTGATCAAGTGAGCATTCAGCCTATTAGTGATCTTCAGTGGAGATAATTTTCAGCAAACCATAAAAAAGATAATCGAAATTTTATAGGATGAGATATTAGGAAGAATAGATGCTCAATGCAATGAGACGAAAATATCGAATTGGCACTTGATTAGATTAAGGAATTGCCTTTACTTCATTGTAATTATAAAGCGAAAAGTCTATCGAATGGGAATCGAATGTTCATAACTCTTGATGAAATCCGGTGATACGATTACATTTCATTTTGATTGTTTGTTCAATTCGCCGTGCTTGAAGATTGTTCAATTTAGCTCGATCATTTCTCACAAAACAAAATGATCAATGTCTCTCAAATATTCGGAATATGTGAAATTAAAGCGATATTATGTTGAATTCAATGCAAAAAAAAAAAAAGATTTGGAAGTAGTTCATTACTTACTTTATACATTCTATTAGTTATGTGTTTTGCAATGCTCGCTAAATCAGCGGTTTTCTTCCAACAGGTTTTTTGATCACAACTACCACTCACGCCGTGACATTTGCAAGATGAGATGAGGGTTTTTTTGACGGCCTGAAATAAGCTTTTCTTTCCTTGGAGGTGTCATTAAAGGAGTACGTATTGGAGTTGACAACTTACAAGCATTGTACAATTCATAATTGAATTTCAACCATTCCTAAAAAAGCACCATATTCAAGTATGCAATTTCAGTATAACCATCGATGATGATAGGTCTAAAGTCTTTGATGCATTCCTAGACTCGCAAGAAATGAATCAGACAAACTCATTTTAAAATTAAAATACTGACGTTTCACTCGCTCAAAAGAACAACAATTTGTCGTATCAGTTGAAGAATTGACGAAATTACCATTCAAAATGATGTGTTTGCAGTGACCGAAAAAAAGTGAATCATACAAACTCATTGCTTAAAAGAATGAAAAAAAGAAGAAACACTCACATGATAGAATCACTTTTCATTAGATTTGAGATCAACTAAAGGATGCTCTACTTATGGGTAGATTTTACGTAGAGAATTAAGAATAAGATGCAGTACTATTTACTTATAACTAATTCTTGCACCAAGCAATAATGATTAAATGAACAAAGGGACACTTACTAAACGTCCTGCCTTTAGATTATGCTTTTCGAGTTTACGTAACGGTGATCTGGATGAGGTGTGACGTGTCAGAAGCTTTCTCGACGTAACGATACCAAACTGTACTCCATATGAACATCCTCCCCATTCCCAGTTTTCCTTCTTATGAGCACGTCCATTACATGCACATTCTGTTAACCATCCTTGTGCGCATGCCGTCGATACACCCCACGCTGCACCTGCTGATGACATTGCCCAAAGGTATGCAGTCTCTCGGGTTCCTTAATTCGCCTGTGCATATAGTTACTGCGCACATCATTCGATTCAAAACAATATAAACGAATCCAAAGAGCGATCCTGAACTGACCAAGCCTCAGTATTGGTGGGTCATGTAGTACTGTAGAAATGTGCGAGCAGTCCCACGGCTGAAATCGCATATGTTCACGGCATGCACTCATCGCATCTTGGATGCCCTCGTAAGCAGCCACGGCGATCGCTGGTTGTGTACGACACAAGACGTGGAAGTGTCGGTACGATCGAAGATGCAGCAACTCTGGAGAACAACCCTGTGATAGACGATTGCAATACTGTCACTTCAAATTAACTCTTAACGCCTACCTGTGTCAACTTTTCTGGAGCTTTCATAGCAGCAACGCCTCGAATTGGTGGTGATATTAACAGAAGTATTGTTATGAGTTGATTAAATCCACACAAGCATACTAGGAGCATCACTAGTAGTAGATCTATTTGAAGGCATTCACCAATCGACATGAATTTTTGAGTGAATCGGTTGTTAGTAGTTTGTTGATAAGTTACGTTGATTATCAACTGCTCGAACTGTTTGAGATGATTAATTCTTGTATGGTGGTTGATGATGATACAGATTATTTGTGCTAAGCACAATTTTGAATGAGTGAAAAATGAATTGCAATAATAATGGTAATGATCAAATTTTNTTTTATTAGATAAAAGCGACGATAAAAGCGATGCAAGTGGTATAATGAGCAACCGAGAACTGCAGATACCGCAGAGAAGATGGACCGAGATGAGACGATCTTCGAAGGAATGAATCGCGTAAATGGGCCGTCTTCAAATTGTGGCAGAGCAAATAATCTGAGCTTGAGCAACGGCAACGACACAATAACAAGAACAATAAATGAAGAATTACACGCCTCCGATAGATATTGCTACCAACCGCCCGAAAAGACCCAGTTGTGTACAACGAGTTGTGTTGTCCTCTTGTCATTCCTCTTAGTTTCAACCATCTTAGGTAATCATTTACCTGCTGATGTTGATGAATATTATGTTGTTTTATATCACCTTTCATACCATCATTTTGGCATCACTCGACTCGTTTTACGATCCTCATTCACGGTCCCATTCTCTATTATTCATTAATGTTTCCCTCTTCTTCATTACTTTTGCAACCATATTCAACATGTCTTTCAGCATCTTTAATCACTTTTCTCCAAAAGTTTATCTATCTCTTACCAATTTTCAACTTCCTCTGACGTCTTTCAATTACAAATTATTTCCGTCATCTTTTCCACTCTTTACTGATTTTCTTTGAAGGTGTATGCTGAGTGAGTGGGTGGTAGCAAGAAAAGTGATAGCATTTTCTAACATTTACAGTAGAACCATATGGGCGTGACTTGTTGATATAAGGGAACATCAAATTGAGTGAGAAGAGAAGATTCTGAGGAAGGAAGTTGACTCATGAAATTGATACTTGTATGTAAAGGCTCTATGAATGAAAAACTAGAAGATTGAATTGTGTATTCAATATGTTTGCAGAGATTGTTGACAACTGCTTTGTTTATTGGATAGATTTATCATATTAACAGTTCATTATTAGTTGGTCAGAACAGTTTATTGAAGTATTGCACTTGAGTTATGTATTAAATCTCGACAGCTTTATTCTCACTGTAAATAATATTCAGAAAGATTGTCAATTTTGATACAGTTATTCGAATCTCATTTAGTCATTAAATAATTTGCTTTTATTGGGCGAGATGTGGACGTGCTTTCCAGTTAACTAAAACGTTTAAAGAGTCAGTCATACTGTGGTAATTGGATTGAATCAGATGCGAAACTTTGGTATGTTGACCCAAGAGAATTTATGTTCGTTTTTGTTTTAAATTGAGTGATCGAAAGCAGAGCACTGTGATTGGTGAAACTGATGAGATAGATGATTGATGACGGCAAGCAATTATAAGTGGCGCAGAACAGAGTTCAATTTCAGTATGAGAAAAAGAAACGCGAACGTCGAAACACTCGATCACGACGAATGTTGATGAACCACAGTGGGACCACCCTGCAAGTAACTTAAAACAATACGGTACTGTATCCAATTAAAGAGCAATAAAATTAAATTACATTATGTGCGCTATATACACAGAATAAAGTGCGTTCAACTGAACACTGTTCATTATTCCTTTGTTCCATCACTAATTCTAATTTCTCCAGCAAATGATCATATAAAGAACGGTGTATTCCAAGGTTTCTGATGCTCGCACTCCTTGGTGAGCAAGGGAGTATTCCAACGGGTGCGCGATAACATTTCATTTTTTATACACTAGTCTTTTTTATACACCACATTACAGATACTCACTGTAGTGGATGAGAGATACAGCGTGGATGTTGTGAGAGGTATGAGTAGATTTTAATTATTACTGTAGAGGATGCGAGGACATCTTAAAATTTTTATGGAGTACAAGCTCGAAAAAAGGTTGAGAAGCACTACTGTATTTGATCCAATAGCGAAGGAAGTAATAAGTGTATAGCTATATAGCTGTGCATTGTTTTATCATTTCTCGTGAGCTTCAGATGAATCATCGTTTGATGTTTAACCTTTGCGCTTCTTGCCTCATTGAAATCAACTCAATCAGCTCTTTCATGCACCTTATGGAAATGTTCATTCATACGAACACCATAAATGAAGATGCAAAAAAAGAAGATTAAAAATGCAATTAAATATTTAATGGACCATTTTCATCGAATTTTCATCCGAACAAAAAATAACAGAAAAAGACTTATAAACCGTCTGCATTCAGTCATAAACAAGAGGAATACGATAATTTTTCAAGTCGATCACAGCATTTATTAAAAATGAATCACTCACTTAAAAACTCTTACTGTACTCAACGCTTTTCTTGTTAGTAAAGCATTTCGATGAAGTCAAATTGAAATTTTGAATTGATTTTTAGCTTATTTTAGTTACAGTTGAGATTAGTTTGAATGAAAAAGCATTATTGATACGGTTCGTTCCGGCTGGAATCAAAAAGCTGCTGAAGGCTTTTACTCATTACGTTTAGATAGTTAAAGATCATTTCTGATGAAGCAACATAAAAACCGCACAAAATATTCGTTTTGAAATGGTATTCACTTAAAATAATATAACTAACCGACTTCTAGACGTGCATTGCTTTCCAAGAGATTTTCAACAACAGTTAATTGAACTCTAAGCAGAAAAGAATGTGACTCGAACGATATCGAACGTTTCCTACTTACTCATGACAACAGTGAAGATTTGTTCACAACGAATGAAATTTAAGTGTGCATGGAATTGAATTGCAAAATGAAGAGGGGTGCAGTCAGCAGCAAATATGTAGCCTTACAGGAACGAAATTTTTAATGAGAAATTCGGAAGGTGCAAACTGGTATATCCCTTCAAAGACAATTCTTTGTGACTTTCAGTCGTAGTGGAATAAAAATGAGGATGAAATAACATAGCAAAAAGCATCGGCATTGTTGCTTATATTCATTTGCATGTAAATATGTACTCGTTCAATGTTCCGGCAAAGTGAAAAGCTCTCTCCTCAATTTAAACCAAGTTCATCTGAACTACTGTGGTTGAAAATTGCGTAAATGTTATCATATGGTAATATCAGCCAACTTGTGCTTCATGCGTTGCTCATGACGACGGCGTATACATAAGCGTCGATTCGAATGCGAAGTGGTATTTGAACGTCGAATTCGACGTGAACGTAATAAAGACACGATCAGTGCATCACCAATTTGCGATAATGTTATAACACGTGATGAGCATCTCCTCTTTAAACAACTACCAAATGCTGATATGCAATCACACTTTGTTCTTACTCTCACTCTCTGAAACTGAATCCAATAAAACTGTTCAAAAGTATCATTTGAAATAACGTTAACAAAAGAATTAATTTCAATGCAAATTCAACTAAATAAAATTCCACATATCGGTAAAGCATTACGCAATCTCTGTAGAACTCTATACCAAGATATTTGCCAAGAATCTTTGCTTAAGTGATTCAACCATTTATGTACCTTCAACCAAGCATCAACCACCCTTTATGTTTCAGACTAACGCTTGTCATTCAAACAACCTTTTATGTACACTCACAAACGAATTTCTGTACCTGCACTATTTCAGTTCAGTCTGCGCGTTGTATCAGGGCAAAACCGATATAAGAGAAGAATTAAGGTCTATGGACTAACCGTTCGTCCAACAGCAATATTATGCAAGTAAATAGGCGATGTTTTATCAGGAAACAGACACGAGAATTGCCGATCTATTAGACGCCTGAAAGATGAAATTTGACTGAAGAATGGTATTCATCATGCTGATCACACATGCTCTGATCGTTCTCGTGCTATTTTATTGTACCTATTGCATCAAGTTAATTCTAATGAAATTACTTCGATAATTTGATCGCATAACGAACATTGTCCGAACCAGTGCGTTTCATACAGCTGGACCAAACATCACGTTGGTCGGCTAGAACGGGACCAACTTTTGAAGGATCGCATGAACAAGACCGCAGTCGACCCATTGCACATGCTCGGGCAATCGAGCGCACTGCTGATGCGGTAGTCAAAGCAAGTAAATAAGCAAATTCGCGACTTGCTGCAAACAAGGTGTCATCTTTGAAGTGCTTATTAATGCAAGATTCACTTTATCGATCATATGTTAGGCAATAGCTCGTAATCATCTGTCTATGTGGCTAGATACATTATTCAGGAATGTGTTCACTGCACAGCAATGGAAAGTGTTAAAAGTGCTTAGAATATGCTTAAGAATCAAAATACTTTCAGCAATTCTAATTATGTGTTTGTAGAGCGGTTAAGAATGGAACACCTACCGTAGTGAGTGAGCGATGGAAAAAGTGCACTATAAGGACTACCAACAACGGCACAGTTCCAACGATGCGATTCTGACCGATGTGAGCACTCAGCAAACGCATCGTGCATCGCTTCTTTGAGTATTTTAACCAGTTCCGGATCTCGACTCATGATACCAAACGTTCGATTATTGATCAGTCCTCTAATCTCAAATCAACAAAAAGTTTTTCAATGGATTCGCTGTCAGTTCATTAATGTCACAGCTGATGCATTCAGCAATTACTGCATCTCAACTGCCCAGCATTCATTTCATATGACAATAAATTAAGCTCTACGAGCTAACAATGATTTATAATTTTGTCTTCATTGCTAATAATTTGATCTTAAATGAACAATTCAACAAAGCTTAACTGAATGGTGCAAATAAACGTACAAATGAGCATTAATCAACTATGCATTTCACTTTTGTCAAGCATTTAGCCTTTCTTATTACGAGATATCTTATCTCGAGTAAATGTTAGCAAAAACTGAAATTTTGCTAGTTAATGTGCGAGGGTTATCATCATATAACTACAACATCACACATATCGTACAGGCTGCGCTTTTCTGATAAAGCTATGTAGTCTGCTCTTGAGCGACACTCTTTTTTGCATTCAGCCGATTTTCATTGCTGTAAAATATAAATGCTCTTTGGAATACGGCATCCAAGTCTGCTTGATGTTATTCGTAGGTCGAGAATTAATTTCAGTTATGATTACAGTTTTCTGAATGTAACTTTCCGTTTTCATTTACGAATGAATGAATTAATGTGAAAAACGATCAAACCGAGTGAATTATACTATCGATTGGATTTAGTTAGATGAAATGAATTTCGAACAAACATTTCAAAACATTGATATGACATCACATAATAATGACTGAAGTACGTTTTCGCTGAATTCTTTGTTCATTTCTTTCAGAAGAGGATAATAGGTGAAATATGTTGCTATTCGTTTTGAGTTCTCTCAGACATTCTAATGATCTTCGGTGATATTTATTTTCGATTCTGAGAATATCTCATTTGGTACATCACATCTTTTTTTTCGTACTCTTGAAATGCAACAGAACACTGAAAATGCTGAAGATAGGTGAAAAAATCAGTGTATAACCTCGTGCAATGATGAACGAACCCAGTACACTTTCCTGCAATGGAACTGTTTAAAATTCCTAGATTATGTCTGAGTCAACTCATTTAAATTACATCACCGTTCTAAAGTGACACAGGCTGAGCACTTCTTTCGTTCATTCTTACCATACATCTTATCGCTGAATTGAGAACATTCTATTCAATGTGCTGCATGAAAGAACCAATGACAGCTTCTCTAATCAAATCTATCGAAAACGCTCGTCTCCCAACAAACGCTTAACAATATTGTCAAAATTGACTCAACCTGATCAGGTTATAAATGACAATAACACAGAGAATTTAAATTACCAGTTACACAAACTAGGTATGATTTTCACAGAATAATCACTCAGAATTCGGTAGTTCACAACGATAACGGTTCATATAAATTTACAAAATCTTACTTACCACCAATGAGGCTCATACGATAAGGATTGCACCATCAAGGAACGTAAGAATAAGAGGATCACTGCGAGAACAGGTGGCACGAAACGACGCATGTTGCAGATTCAGTAGAATGATGATGCTGCTGCTGCTGCTACAGGCCAACAACAACAGCAGTCAAGTCAGTTTCCTTTCTTTGGTATCATCCCATCCTTCCTGTTACATGATTGTTGCTTCGAATCATATTCTTCATCCGCTTTCCCACCTACCTCCCTTCTGTGATCATGATAATTTATTCTTTTGAACAGATCAAAATGTAACATTTGCCATCTGTATGCCTCGTGCAACATAACAAACAACATCCCTAAAAAGTGATTCGTTCTCAAATTTAAACGGACACCTTTTCAATCAGTATTTAGATGCTTCAGTGAATATTGTTTACTTTTGATCGTTTCCGATCATAACAATGCTCCGTCTTCTCAACAAATGTAAACATCGAATCAACTAGATGTGATTCGACTTTATTCGATTCGTTTCACATCGACATTCACTTACATCTCTATCTCAATGCTACTTTACGTTTGCTCTGCTTATTTTAAACAACATTTCATTTCGAAATCGATATGAGTTACACAAAAAAATTCTGCATTACAGGAAAAGAATTAATTTCATATGATCGGTTATATCGCAGTGGAAGATTTGATACTTCGAAATTATTTCAAAAAGGTGCGATTATATTGCTTCAATAGACTGTTATATTGATTCAGTAAGCTACTTCAATAAGCTATTATTTTGTTATTATATTTATTTCAAAAAATTGCGATTATATTGCTTCAATAGGCTATTATATTGCCTCAGAGAACTTCAATGTAGCGTGCGACAAGCACCGTCACAAATCATCTGTTTTGTGTGTTTATTCCAGTTAAATTCGATTCAGCTATCGCTTAACTTTATTTCATTATCAAATGCTGGATCAATTCACTAAAAATTTTTAAAAATGAGTAATGCGATACAATCTCGATCGATGTTTCAAAAATTTTATCACAATAAAGCAGTAATGATGCAGCTAATCAAAAAGTACAATAGCGAAACGATCGGCAGAGATGAAATGGTATTTTTGAAAGCAAGCAATTCGAGATAAAAGGAAATAGAAGGTATTGCAATGGGAAGGATGATGCCGATCAGAAATTGTAGAAGAAAGTGGATGCGAATGTAGAAAAGATGAGGAGAGAATGGCTGAATGAACAGGTATGGGGAAAGGAAAGATGACATAATGATGTTTGCTTAAATAAGTAAGCATAGCAAGCAAAATACAATGCGATGATAAAATACATTTTCAGTGTGTGTGTATGCGTTTGTGTATGACAAACGATGGCCACAACGGTTGCCAACGAAATGCTTGTCGATATGAAGATGAATATCACAACTTGTGGTGCACATTCAGGCCTTATTGTGCATTCCGGTATTGTGCAGCATGACCGTGTATGGCCTTACATGAAACAGTTCACGAACACACCGTGGTCATCATCAATTAATCAACTACAACAATACAATCAACCACAGAAGCCTTCTTGTGAACAGTCGTTATCTCAGCAACAACAACAGCAGCAAAATGGTTCTGTATCACTCGCTCAAACCTTCCACGGTAACGACTCACCATCTAGCGAGTTTATTCAACCGGATAACATACAACTCAGCCGCTTTCAGTTGGTTAGTATTATTATTATTATTAGTATTATTATTTTTATTATTATCGGTATTATTAATAACATCGACGTCGATATCATTATTCTCATTATTGTTTATTATCGAGATTGTTGTCGGTTTTGATTGAAACAATATCATTGTCATTCATTACTACAACACTCCATACCGTCGTATAAACCGATCCCTTTTGAAGTTCCTTCACGTTTAGTTGCCTTTTCAAAGCGTGATTGATTGAATTAAACTTCTCGGAAGATGTCTTATCAAGCCCGATTAATTCGATAGCAAGAATGTGAAAATGTGATAATTGATTATAGCGATTTAACGACTGAATCAAAAAGTTTCAGTTTTTATTCTCTTGCATTGTGTAGCGTTGCATTTTTACGCATGCACTTTAGTTTTTAATCATTACTTTATCTATTCACGGTTTGTTCTCTACTATTATTTCACTTAGTGAATGCACCAAATGTCGAACAATCAGATGTTACTTGATATTGATGTTTTATTTAGAATCCACTTGACTACACGGAACCTCAGTTGAATAGGAATGGACCTAAATATAACAGAACGGAAGAGCAACGTCCGGAGATGTTGTTCAATGACGGAAAAATTCATAGTGGTACTTTAGAAGCACTTCGAGCAGATGTGAACCCGAATGCTTCGAAAGAGTGCAATCGACTGCAAGTACCACATGCGATGGAACCGTATTATTATGAGGAAGGAATTACTGCGAGGTTCGTTTTCATATCATATGTTACGAAATAACATTCGTAACATGCCATACTGAATGCTTTTTATCGTTGAGACGTTACGAGCAGTTGAAAATCATTCTGTCGGTTATGAACATTGTTGCTCTCACCTCACCAGTTCTACAATATATCGTAATATACGGTATTGGTAGAATTATGAAATTAATGGCGACCAAAATTTTGTCAGTGTCGTCGTAGTAGAGCTCCATTCATGGATATCAGTGTCAACGTCCAGATAAAAAGAATTCTCGAAAATCTTCATATAACGTTTTGGATTTGTTCCGATGAATATCCTCTGACTAAGAGTAAGTTTTCACTTATAAGAAAACGCTTCCACTCTGCATATATCGATCAGTTATGAACAATGTTTGCGGTCAACAAGACAGTTTGCAGGAGAGAACCGTTCACGAGTGCACATACTTCAAAATGGCACAGTACAAATGCATCAGAACGACCTCGATTACCTCACCCTCAGAACAATCCCAAAAATGAGTCATCTGCCAAAAACAGTTACTATCATGCAGCTGAACTAGCCAATAATATTCCACCGTCAACTATCAATAATAGGCATATGTCTGTGAACGATTTAACTTATGTTCAACAGCAACAAGCACATTCAACTGACCATTATCGGCAATCGTCATTTTATCCGAACCATTACAGTACGAATATTGAACCAGAAAACTTTTATGAAATTTCTCGGAGTCGCTCCGTTGAAGATATGGATCGACTGCGCACAGCTCACGACGATTACTACCGTCATCACCTTTCGCGTCCACGGAATAATGTGTCTTTCCAAGATGCGTCTTCTCCAACGCAAACTGTTCGAGCTGAAGTTGCAAGGAGTGATGGATTAAGGTGTGCGGCAACTGCACCTGAAGAGATGTTTCATTTATATGAGACGCGAGATGCACTTGGCAATATACGTGCACAATGGTAGCTGTATGAATGTATTCTAAAATTTATCAATGGATATGCATACTGTTCTCTGGCTTTATTCCATGCTTTTAATGGTTTCCTGATGAAGTTCAATAAACAGTGCATATTAATAATGTTTGAAGGATGGAAACAATTTTGAGACGATTTCATCTCGATGCGATATTTTAGAAAATTATCAGTAACGATGACTGAATACAGTCTCAGCTGGATTTTAGAGATGTCTTTCTCAGATCCTATATGACCAATTATAGAAAGTTGTGTTCAAAAATGTTTGCTACTTCACCATATCTATCCTTGGACAGTACGCAATGTGATGATCAGTTTCATTCAAAAAACTACTGAAAACTTCAAACTATTCGCAGCGCATTGCTTGCTGCATTTATTGAATAGTTTAGAATAATCGCTCAAATAAGTCGACTAGAATTATGATTATTCATGATATGTTTAAAGAACAACCATTGAAGACCTCTCGTAAGCTTTTGCGTAGTAAAAATAAGTGCAAATTGTGAGTGATAATATTTGTTAGTTCACAAGGAAGCACTCTTTTGCTGGTTTAGTAAATTTTATATTCGATTTTTGAACCTGAAAATCTCATCAATAGAGGATTGTTTGTGATGGATAATGATTCATGAAACATCTAGAATAATTATTCTTTCTGAGGCCTATTTAAATATCACTTTGCCTCTAATGGTTGCTTTAATCCGTTACTATCCTAATTGCCGAAAATCTCTGGAAGTTTCCAGGCAAAAGTCCGCTTCTGAAAGTTGTAGCATATGAAGTGTACAGTTGTGATTCGAAATATGACTGCAAAATTCAACTTTTTTTTTTAAATATCACTCTATACATAATCATATCCATCGAATCGTGTAATTCTAAAACTTTATTTCAGTGTATCAGATATCAAAGTAAATGAACGTGGACAGTCCAAATCGACTTCGCTCGTTAATGACGATTCAAACGATTCACCAACTTCACGCACAACCAGTAATCTTAATTATCCTTATTCAAGTTATATCGAAATCCCACACCATGATCAAGCACAGCAATTCACCGCATACAATCAACGAGAAAACAATCATATTCCATACTATAGTATAAAAAATGCTAGCGCATCAAATACTGAATTTGAGAATGCATATGAATCATTCCCAGACGATCTTCAAAAAATGTCACCACCTTCGAAGCATCTTACGCAATCACCACCGCTAGCCACAAGTTCGTCACCAAGCATTCATTTGAAAAGCTCAACATTTGATACGCTTGACAAGAATGATCTTGATACAACAATCTCGCAATCATCACTTCTCGATGCAGACGAAGACCAACGATCTCTTCCGAGGTTTGCACAAATCCTTACGAATCCGTATGCAATCAGTAGCAACGAGCTACGCAAGCAAAACTGCACAACTGATGACCGTAGTGCTTGCTCGAGAAGTGCCGTACCTCAGTTCAGCAATGAAGCATTGATAGGTTTAGATAGCAAGCAAATCTCTGCTAGCAATCATATATTGCAGCAGCGAGCATCTAAACTAGTCAATGAAACGCGCAACCAGATGTCAACCGTTCATCAACAGAACGCAACTACTGTTCACAAAATGTCAACACAAAATTTAAGTAACCGTAAAAATTCACGTCCAACAGTGAGCAATGATGGTTACGATGATGAACGTTTAATACGAAATGGTATTAAGTACAACGATGATTTTAGTGAACGTAAACTTGCAGCATTTCCAAGTTTAAAATCAAAACTTGACAGCAATACCGGTGGCGGCGAATATACAATTACAGAGGAGTTAATGCAGAAGTCATCAGTAGCTCATCACAGCATCCCTTCAGATAATTTCAGTTACGAAAATTCACCACAAATGATTCACCACTGCGTCGATCAGCATTTATCTACGATTCAAGATCGTTCACCAAGTTGTTCTTATTCGTTAAAAAATTATGCTGCTAGCACCAACTCGGTACCCCGCATCGAGAATGCCGCTTTTGGGACTGTGCTAGCAAAATCACATAATGACGATGCATTGATCGATCAAAATGAATCTGAAATGTTGAATCTGGGATTTAAACATTCAGCCAAAAATGATATAACTTGCCCACAGACTACGATCAGAAACAGTACGCACTGCTCCTCTTCACATGACAACAACAATGTCACCGAATTAATTCAAGTTAATTCAACTGATGGGAGTGATGTAACAGCTTCCTTAAACGACCATTCCACAACGCCTTTGTTGAGTGAAATAGCAACAAAGCAGTCCAATGAGAAATCTTCCAAGCAAGTAAGTGATATCAAGCTGTTGAATAAGCATAATGATGGAGGCACAGTAACTCAAAAACGCTCAACTGCTTCGTCATCAGCTGATGGATGTTTGCAAAATGATCCTAATTCCACTCAACAAGACAGCAATTACAGTGATGCTATAGCAGCACCATCTAAGTCTATATTACATTCGCACAGTAAGAAATCAGTGCGACACTCAAAACGCAACAAATCAGTTAGTTTTCCATTTCAACCACAAGTGATCGTTAACGAGCATCGTCTTTTCATAACCAACATTGACGATTCGGATTCTTCAGATAACTCTTCGAAAAACCAATGACCTCTCATCATATTCTTTCTCCTCATTTGCTTGTGACAATGAGAACAGAAACATTGATGTAGTAGTCTTAAACACACGATCGACGAACACCAGTGAGTATGGTGAAACGATATTTAATTGTGCTAGTAAAACTGAATTCATGATTAAATGTCGAACATTATCTGCAGAATAAAGGGTGAACTGAAAAGTGCTGCGGCTTGAGAATTACTATAATAGAAAAGCTTGAGAACTTGATGTTCAAGTAATCAGATGAAATTTGCAAACGAACCAAGCATTCGTTAACGATTCGTATGAACTGCATTTGGAGAACCTGAATGCACACAAATAATGATCAACAAACTTTATACAATGACCATAATTATATGTTTGTCTACTATTTTGAATCTAGATGTACTTTTATTATCTCAACAATCCCTTTTGTTGTGATTGAATGTGAATAATTGTTCTATTGTTGTGTAATTTGTAAATGAATGCAGCAGTTTGTAAACAATCCACAGAACAATTTCTTGTTGTAAGAAACTGCTTATTAGCAATGTCACTTTCGTCGTAATATTTTAGAAAATGCGCACTTCATTTCGAAATCATTCAATATGTTGCTGGAATCGCTTGTTGATTACAGAATTGGTGCTTATGAGTGAAATGATATGTATGATGTAAATAAATATGGAAAAAATTTATGAATGAAAAAAGTGTAAAGGAATCAATTCTGAATAAAATAAATTTCCAACACGCTCCTTGCTTCATCATGAAATCAATTTTCAACGCCCACTTTGCTTTATCATACAATCAACTATAGCTCAGGACAAATGAGCGCATATCAATATGCGCTCATTTGTCCTGAACTATAGTTGATTTTATGATAAAGCAAAGAGGGCGTTGGAAATTTATTGNCAATAAATTTCCAACGCCCTCTTTGCTTTATCATAAAATCAACTATAGTTCAGGACAAATGAGCGCATATCAATATGCGCTCATTTATCCTGAACTATAGTTGATTTTATGATAAAGCAAAGAGGGCGTTGGAAATTTATTGAAACCTGTCATCGGGATTCATGGTAGTTGGCTAGGTGATCTTTCAGAGAGAGTCGAACATAGCGGAAATTAGTACACAAACTTGAGCATACAAGTTCTCTGTGAGAAAGCATCTAAGAAATGTGCAAAGTCATAGTATGGCAGAGCGCATTGTTTGACGCGCATATGAACATATCGAAAGCTCAGATCCTTTTGTGTAAGAGCGTCAACGAATCCCATCATGTTCCTTTCAAACTCATTCGTGCAGTTTGCCGAAAAATGTCAATCCTCGTAACTCATACGTTCATTATAGTGGCTGTTGGGTCTGTCGAGGGCAGGCATCAGTTATTTATGAAGATTGAAAACACAACAATAACAATGTCTGATACAGATACAAATCACAATATAAGCGAAGTATAAGTAGATGGAGACTTCGACACACCAATAGGCATGGGCAGCACCATATACATGTCCCGAACTCTCGATCCTCGATGATGAACTAACATGATTTGGTATGTGATCGTGAGATAGATGGACACACTGGTGAGAACAATGCCGGTGAGGCAATGAGAATGACCATTTGTTATGACTGACGATGCCTTTATCCTGACTGACTATTAATCAATTAACCATTAAATGAGGGCTAGAGGCATAATGAAATCAGCTGGTGTTTAGAATGTTTAGTACAGCATGATGAATGGTCAACAGTCGATGGCTCGTGCCAGTGACCAGTGCGTAGAACTGAATTTTGGTTTCAAAGGTTTTGAACTGTCAAATTTTGGAGTCGTGTATCCCGCATGATGTTTTCTTCGAAAGTTTTGATCATTTGTTATTGGCTGTATTCAATGTCATCCAGCACCAGAATACTTCTTACGATTTACGCACATGCAATAGCCATAACTGTCTATTACGTTAATTTTATAACTTCAAAACTGATCCTTCTAATTCGAGTGTTCCTTTCCTGGTTACACATATCGACGATTTTTTCGTGTAAGCAACTACTGTTGCATTATTATTGTTACTTCTAAGAGAGCAGTTCGCAGACAGGTATAATTAAGAAGTTTAATCAATTGTGATAGATCGACTAAGTAGTGTATTGATTAACTTATGAGTTCAGATCAAATTCTCCATGTAGATTTTAACTGCTTTTTCTAAAGAGATAGTTTGAACAGCAAATCTGTTACCATACATATACAGCAACCATATTTTGAGCACATTCCTGTTTAGAGTATGACATACATTGCTGCACGAACCACATTGATGAGCTGACTGCTCGTTCTTTGCTGGCTCTTTTTCATGCTTGCGGTCGATGCAAATTTAGGTATGAATGCAGGAGAATTAAGAATTTTTTGGTATAAGAATTGCGTTATTAGAATCAGTTTCACGAAGACATTCAACACGATGAAAATTATGCGTGTGCGAATAAAGTCAATTTTTCTCGTCATATTCTTTTTGAGGGTGAGGAAACAATTCAAATTTCTAATCAATCTGAATTTTTGCTGAATTAACGAGTCATTCTTCTCAAATGAACAACACTCGATACAATCGAAACGAACGTTCGATTTGTGTTACTGGAATGCACCGCCTGACTGACTGTGATTTCATATACGATCTCTTCTCACAGGTTTTTTTTTTCCTTCTTTAATAGTTTCTTACATAACCTCAAATCATTCATCACATGAATATCCTAAATTTTCTTTTTTTTTTTCAAACTTTGTTCAGGTAATTATGGCATAATTCTTTAATCGCTCTTATTCCGCTGCCCTTAAGCGATAAATTAAATCAGCTAATAATCCAACCGGATACTATCAGTTTTGGTTTCTGCTAGATTTAGTTCGATGACCACCGATCCAACTTCAGCCGAAACCAAAATGTGGTTATTTCAGATAGGACTGGTTGAGAAAGTTGTACTACATCAATATTCAGATGGCAATCCGAAAGACGCATTAGTTGTATTCAACGATGTAAAATCGGTAAACGATGCGATTAGATATTTGCATAAGAAAGATGTTTACGGTGAACGACTCTGTATTCGACCACTGCGGTTAATCGCTCGCTTTGTTTCGTATACATTTATCATTCATCCATTTTTTGCGCTCGTTTTCTTTCGATTTGAGTAAATCAGTAATGTGCATGATTGAAGTGGCTATGCACGTTATGATGGTGCAATGAATAGCGGTCATTGTTACGCGATCAAGAAAACGAATAACAACGGCAACAAAACACAAAGTGATCCATCCCAACGGCATAAATCTTCCATGCCAGAATTCACTCAATTATAATTCATCGATTTCGGAAACATGCAATGAATGGCAAAGTAACCTTGATTTATTTCTGACACCATTCGTCAATTCTTGTTTATCTCTAACCGGGGTTTTTCATTGTTGAATGGAGTTGCTGTGTTTGTGTACCTTTAGACCATTTTTTTTACTTACTGAAGAATATTTTGAGTTGCAAACCTTTTCATCGCTGGTGCACAGAAATTGAAAATTGTAAGGGATGATCATTTTGCACGGAAACATATGAGAAATTTGGAATTTTTTTGCACAATACCACTAATTATGGCGACTCCATGCAAATTTGCAGTCGTCAACGTTCTTTTCTTGAAAAAACTTTAGGTGATAAATGAAGAATCAATTGTTTGATTGAACAAAGAAATTAAGAATTTCAGGACAGCGTCAGATGTAATGAATAAACTATCAATAAGTGCTGACTGCCTTTCCAAAACCGGTGAACTTTCGTGAATGTGCGTTCATTTATTATATTCTCAACGACTAACCGGCAGTTGTATGGATTTATTGGTGCTCATGTGAATATGAACGAGATTAATTCATTAATAATATCGATGATCACTGGTTTAGCATCACTCCAGTGATTGTTTTAAGTTTTGTGATTTCAACTTTTTATTTACTAATTAATCAATAAAAATTTTATACTACTCTTCTCACGCAGACATATATTATTGTCGCTTTCGAATCTTAATGTTGTCATCATGCGAGCAAAGCAAACAAGAATCAGCCACTCATACCTGACCTTCCGAGCGTTGAACCCAACCATTCAAAAAACAGAAAATAATAACGAGTAGTTTATTTGCACTAAATTTGCTCAAATATCAATTTTCAGAAAACGTATGCCTCAAGACTGCTCAATTATTCGATAGCAACTCTGAATTGATTTCTGAATTCTGAACTGATTTTAATCCTTGAGATAATCTGTAATATTGTTCAACTGTTACGATCTTAAACAATAAATATGGAATACGATTGATGTCTTGCTGAGTAGTGATAACGTACCGTGGAATATTTGTTATTACTATTGATGATAGAAGATAAAGATGGAACAAAATTATTGAATAATCGATTTTTGTATGAGATGAAGGATGGCAACGACAACACACAGATGGATCATGGGCATTATTGACATGATCCGGGAATTGAAAGAAAGGGAAAAAAAAGCGCAACAGTTGGGCAATACAGTCGACTGAAGACTGTTTCAGAACGAATCTCATTGTTTCAAACATCACTGGAATAAATTGAATGAAAAACGAAGAAATTCAAACGTCAGTTAAATAAGTTCGTTTACTGAAGTACTTCTACCGATCAAGTCGATTCAATTCAGATATCATTCGCAATCAATGATTGGTGTTCTTCAAACATGCAACCGTAAACGAGTCGAAAGTAAACCACCTTCCTTACACATTCAAAACTATAACTTCTTACTTTAACAGCGCAACTCTTTGAAATGAAACAATCTTGGATTATTTGAATGATCGACGATAACACCGATTAATCGAAAATTGAATGGAATGTGTTCAAGAAAATGAAACGGAAAACAAAATGAAGCATTTGATGACCAGTTGAAATGCTATAAAATACATTAATACAATATCAAACCTATCGTAGTAAGACGTTAATAACTTGAAATTATCAGAAATTTTACAGAAAGGATTTACAAAATATCGACAAGCTGAGAAGAGCGGAAATGACATAGGGGTAAGAATGAAGATTTCTTTCGCAACTGTTATTCTGAAGTCATTTCGAGAATGGCTGAAACGGTTGCATCCTTATTGCCGCGTTTTTCTTCGAGAACACACCGTATAACGTCAACATCTACCGATGGGAACATTGCGTGCAATTCTTTAACTTCTTCTTCGGTGAATAAAACTCGTGGCGGTGCGACTAAAATTTAAATCACTCAATTAGCCAATCAAACCAACACAACGGTAACGAAACGATTCAAAATTGGATTATTCATTATGAACCATTCTGTTGTTGAGGCTGTGTTGTGCTTTCAATTGCGACTTGTGGTGATTGCTCGACTGGCGTAAATGCAACGATTAAATCGATTGCACCTTCCTTTCCATCGCCCTGAACACACACGCATTAAGCACATAGCAAATGCAATGCAACCTTACTGAATGCACAAACCTGTTGTCCCGATAACTGATACCAATCATCAATTATCTCCCCATTAAACACTGCACTTGGCAACACAACATGCGCCCAAGCAATACACTCGTCTACGGTGAACGCACGCTGTAAAAGTGTTGTTAACCTCACACTCTTAACAGCACACATGTGATACCTATTTAATGTAAGTAAAACTTATGTAAAATAAATGCACGATATTTAATAACTGTCCATTTTTCACCTCACGGTTCATGTAAATCCACACCTATACCAGCTATAAAATACAGCAATATTTCGGAGTACCCGACATTATCATGCGCAGAACCTCAGCTACTATACGTTCACGTCAAAATGGATATTATTCCATATGTATGAACTGATTTGGTCATGATTTAACCAATTAAAGAGAGCGATATATTAGTAACTTCCGTTGGTTATTTTATCACACGCAGCATGAACGCTTCAGGCGCGCTATGCACGCTCTACGGGTGATAAACAATTAGCATATGAAGATGGTGAATACTCTAAAACATTACTCATTTTCTGGCGAAATATTAACTGTCAACGCAGCGATACCGGACATTACTCACTTTCATCTGTCCGGAGACTTTGCTTACTGAATAAATGCAAGCGAAGTTGTACCTAGATGGTTTGATGAATAATCTAAAATATTTCTCTTCTGTATGTAATATGAGTAAAACACTACCAATATAAGCTGGGAATGCATAGCTTCTAAATATTACCCACTTACCGTATAACATTTCTATTCATAATGAAAATGCACATAAGGTAATGATAGTGCCGAATAATCAGAATCGTACACCAGCTATTCATCCCACAGAAACTCTATCTAATTTAATAATTTCCATGCGAAACACTAAGGCACAATCGTTAATATCTACGTCGGCTGTTATGAATGTCAAAAAAGTCCAAATCCATATTCCAAAGCGAGTAATCACATTTTCCTGAGATTCGATTCACACGATTTCAACCAAGAATGTTGAGATGAGAAGTAATATGAGCTTCCCAGGAGTTTCAGAAAAAATTTGACAATTTAAAAATGTAAAATGTACAATCGTCTGAGAGTGTTTAAAAAGCGATTTGTTCGCTAATATTCATGATCGGTGAATGATGAACAGATTGTGAATAAATGATTTAATCAACTCATTTACTTAGTGCTTATTTCAGACGACAGAAGTATTTTTTTCAGAATGAAAAAGAGAATAAACAAAGAAACCTCGTCAAAAATTTGCAGATAGATTGACTCAACGCCATGTGGTAAGTAAGCATTAACGATTCGATTCCATTTCGGCGCTTTACCGCCGTGGATGTCAGTCGGTGTTTCGAAGACGGCATTCCCAACACGAATGCGACAGTACGGATCCATTCGAACCAGGCCATAGTTTTTGGCCAACTTCGCTTCGACCACAGTAATCGAGATACGGCCACGAGTATTTGGTGGCACAAAACTGTAGAACGCGTGCTGAAATGCCTCCTTCTGTTTCGTTGTTTCCTCTGTTTTTTTATTCTCATCTGTATCAATCCACTTAATCAGATAATTGGTTATTGACCGTTCAATAAAAAGATCAACTGACATATTTGTGAAGTTTGTATCACCAATGAACGAGAATTTAGTAAATTAGCCGATGCAACGATAATATTTTTTGCATCCGAATTTTTCAGCTTATTTAGCTACGCGACGGCAACGCAGCGAATAAAGATTTCAAGTATTATAGTTGAGTGATATTCCTTGTCTATTATCTACCACACACGCCAACGTAGAATTTAATGATAAAGTGAACGTTAGCTCAGAAACAAAACTTACACACTTCGAAGAATCATTTACGGAACATTCAGTAAACTGTACTCATCACAACCAGAAATAAGAAAACGATTCATGCAACATTCATAACAATACTCTCAAATGATTTTTTCAATCAACTGCTAATAATTCCGGAAATATTTTTTGCATTATCTATTCAAACCTGAGCTTGAATAAGGTTGTGTTGCGCGGCAAGAGCCGGATCTGTGATCAAAACAGTGGTTGGAGCACGAACAACCGGAGCCACTTGCTGTTGCGGTTGTCCGGTTGCAGTGATCGGTACGGCGAGGCGTAGAAAATCTGCTGGTAAATCACCAAGCAATAACTGGAATATTATGCAAAACATTTTTAGAAAGCATTAGTGCCCACATCGAAGGAGTCTTATCAACAACAATAACAACTCTAATTCACAATATCATCGGCACTAATAAATGCATACTTATTTTATTTACTTACCTGATACACCCCACGGTCTGCACGCAATTAAAAAACATGCGCCTCACGCACTGAACGACAATAGTGAATACAACATCAGTATTGAAATGAGTAGTTCCAAACAATTCAATAGTGTACGCAAGATACTGCACGGTCACAAAACATTCTTTCAAATTTTTGGGTCAAGCTTCCAATAAGTGAAATTTGAAATTTAAATACACTATTGCAAGCATGTTAAAGGGGCACACATTCTTATTCTCCATACTGCTGTCCATCGAATGCAATGTGGTAATATTTACAAATATTTTGTTCGACTCTTGATTTTGCTTGGATTAATTACGAGGTGAAATATTACTAATCGTAAAGGAAAGTTGAACATGCCAACAAATAACTAAATTGGAAACGACCTTCTTGCGACGTTCCTCTATAGTGGTTTGTTGTAATTTTGATGATGAAGGATGCGACGCTAATGAAGCAGCCATATTATCACCCGAAAGCTGAACAAATAAATCTAATCATGGAAGTGAATGATTACAACACACTTATTCTATACGTCTTCAATACATTCATTATTGAACAAATCAGATAACTTCTTGATGACTGCTCTATGATAAACAGCAGGTAACTAAAAAAGAAAATGACTATGTATTTAGATTACTGCCGAAACAACAGCTACTATCTCATACCCTTAAGCTCTCCATTTTGTTAGCATGTTGCTAAATGCAGTACAAACGATAAATACTACAGACAACCGAAAAGTTGAGACATTCATTATGAAATCGAAACAGTTCGTTTAACTCATAAACACCAATATCGATAAGCCGTTATAAACGAGCATGTCAGATGGAAATCAACGAGAAAGTCAAAGAAATTCAAGCAAATAAACAAAGATTTATCGAGATTTGTATCATTCTTAATGCATCATTATTATTATCACTTTCTAGTGTGCTTAGGCAGTATATCTCTATGCTGAGTTAGTTCATAAATAATACCATATGCGAACAACAAGCATCATTCGTCTGACCACAGAAGCAGAGAACGGTGAATCAACATGATTTCGCTGCATGAATACAAAAAGCACTGCTTTATGTCGATCAGAGCTGAGTGACCAAGCATCAACATATGGAGACGAAAACGATTATTATTCCATTCAAGTGTCCATTTGAAAACAAATTGTAAATAAACATTAGTAAGCACCGAAATGTGATTTGATTTAAGTGTTTCATTGCTGAATGTTCGAGAGTTTGTTTTATCTCTTTAATTATTCGTATCCGTATTTCAGTCACCAATTGTCATCGAACATTCACAATTAAGACGTATTCAGACAATAATCTCATCACGAAAACCGCATAAAAATTTGAAAATTCACAGACAATGCTGCAAAAATTACGAGAAATGAAAGTAGAAATACAGACAATAATAATAATAATAATGATAACAATAATAAAGATATTCCTATAGAGATAATGAACATGATAACAAATATGCCAGTACAACAAGACGTAACGTTTGTTAAAGGTTAGCAGTTGTACATTAATAACGCAAGTGATCGATCAAAAGTAATCCCAAAATAACACATCCACAATGCATGTAAACACTCCTTATATATTAAGTGAATAACTCTATTAAAAACACTGCAAATAGGAGAAGTGACGCGCTTTAGCATCCGTGTTATAATAATTACAGTTAGGATCAGTGAAACCCAAAGACACTCCCTTCAACTTTATCTAGCAGCATTCGGGGTCCACCTTTCATTTTTCCTTTACCCAGCCACCTTCTCTCCAAAGCATAAGCCTAGGCGTATGCCTAAGAGTAACCCCAAGCCTAAAGCTGATTCGAGTGGATGAGACTAAGCGCAGCCGTTCGAGTTAGCCTAGATGGATGTTTCGTTTTTTTGCTCAATTACTCCCTCTCGCACTATTTATCAGTGGTTTTATGCTTCGTTTCCCCATTTGGTTATATGGCAGACCTCCATTCTAACGATCCACTTGATCGCAATTCCTGACATCTTAGTAACAAAACGCAAGAAATTGATCCAGTGGTCACAGTTTTCAATCAGTAATTCTTCGGTGGTATCAGTGGGATGAATCAATCTTTTTTTCAGATCAAAGCATTTTGAAAGAAGACCGAACATTTATGGATGAAATACGAACAAAAATCAATCAACCACAATCGTATCAAATTTCTTCTTAGGAGAGAATTTCCCTTATGTGAACCGTTAATATGTACTGTAATTTTCAAACACTACCCATCAAATAAGATTTCCTTGTGTTTATTGTGTTCCCTAATTTAAAAAACTGGTTTCTCGCACAACCCATTCGTTTTCTCCCTTTTCTTGCAGATACCACAACCAAAAAACTGATGAATCATAAAGTGCGCTCAAAATCATGCTTTTTCCCTAAACGCAGCCCTGTTAGTTTACAAGTAAGTCAATGCAATCTTCAAACTTAGAAACATTTCCCTTTAAGCACTGCAGAACCCAAATCACGGTTATTTTAACAGACAGAACTTATCGAGAAGCATGAGTAGGAGGATCCCAAAAACGGGAACGTCGGGAAAGGAAGTTTGTGTAGGATCCCTCAAAACGGGGTTCTTCGTGGATTTGGTGGGGATGGTAGCGAGGGAAGTACTTTCCGTTCCTAACCCTAATTATCATTCAATAATAATAATAATAATGACTAATCATAAAAATAATGATAATAACAGCTGAGAAAAAGCAACTAACAGCATAAAATATACACAGCACCTACCGCAGGTACATTCGCATAATTGAGCAGAGCTTGCATCCAGTAGAACGGTTACAACACCAATATTAAGTGCCACCTGACTCTTATCGTTTTATTCAGCCACAAACAATTAAGCAATATAAATCAGCATGCTAAACGCTCTTTTCCGATCAAAAATGTTTCGCTCCCAATATGGATGAAAAATGACTTCTCAAATTATATCACAGGAAATTCGCACTGTTTGTTTAAAACCAAGGTTTATGTTAATTTGAGAAAGTAGAACGGCTAATTATATGTAAATTTATGAGCAAACTCAACTTTGAACGGCCGAATCAGGTTTAAAATCAATGATGAGCCAATAATCACATCCTAATTACAAAAACGAAAATCAGGTTGCCAGCCAAAGTTGAGGCCATTAACAACTTTACAAACTGAGATCGGTATGTTTATGATATATAATCTTGGTAGAAGATTATACGGCCATATTATGATAATTGTGTCATAATCGCAACATTTTTGGCACCATATTATTCCAATATCAGTGAAAGTATGTATGTGTGTATATGTACAAGACAAAAGGGAATAGTTCTCAGGCAACGCTCACTGTTGCAAATACCAACCCTAAGCGGGATTGCAATCTAATAGAGTGGATCTGCTTTGCACTGAAAACTTTCAAATAGAAGACGTATAGACCACTTCAGAGATACTGAAATTAATTGGGTACTTTAACTACTGGCGGAAAATACCGAACATGTGATCGTATCTGAGCAATCTAAAACTGTACAATAATTTATGGGATATGAATTCAGTATAGCACGTGAAGAGACGATATAATTTAAGGGTAACACACTTGAACGTCGGATGGGTCAGCAGGATTTTTGATCTATTAACGACTGTTCGCCCCGTTTGGTAGTCCGCTTAACCTCTTCAGAGCACTACTTCTTTCTCTAATTTATAATGTTGGTTCTCTTTCAGATTTGAACAAGAAAAGTAAAGACAGTTTTTGCACAGTTATACCCGTAATTCATTAAACAAAAATATCGTAAAGTTTTTCGGAAACCTAGAAAATTCTCTTCAATCACAGTCTTTCGAAACTAATGGGCCTAGACTAATCCTTCTGGCTGACGGTGAAATTGTCCAGCGAGTATTCACAACAAATAAGAATCCCATTTGCACAATTTTCGTTGAATTATTTAGCACTCCGAATAGAGGAAGTAAATTAGTAAACGAATCTTGACATCAGGATAAATAAACTTGATTTTGTAAACTCTCAGGTAGATGTGAACTTTTACGTCCAACCTATATCATTATCGTAAATTAATATATGTGCTTCAACAGTAACCTAATAACGAATTTCACTGCATGAGTAATGTATCTGTCTTTATGTTCCACGCAAACTACCTCATCACTACATATATCCGTCTTGTTGCTTCCATCTCTCACGTCTTAACACACAACGACTGTCCATCCGTTCGACATTCAAGTTCACATGCTACCGTGCACTAGAATTTACTCATTCTCACAGCAATTCAGATCATCCATACTCTCTTCTTGAAATATTCACCCTCACCATTTTATTCACGGAGAAACTGAATGGTTTCGTAAAGCATTATCAGAGGAATTTCTCAAATGTGTTGTGAAAATAATTAATCACTACGGTGAAATGATGAAACTGACTGAAGGATTTGCAAGGAAAGAATAACACAACAACAATTGATAATATTGGGGATTTGAGGATATGTGTGCACTCATTGTTAGAATACAATACGAAGAGAAAAGCATCAATCAATCCGAGTCTGACAATGACCTGCATTCGGCTGTGACACGACCCTCATAAACTGGCAATAACGACGAATCATCATTAACCAATAGTAACTGATAAGGTGCCGAGCCATCTTCACAAATTGTCCGGAAGAAAAATCTGGAAATTAATTGATGAATATACTGATTGCGTGATGGTCATCAACAAACAAAAAGCAGTTATTATTGAGAGGGACCCTACACATAATAACGACAGCCAGGATTTATTTTCTTCTCCCAGAAATTAAAAGGAAAGAAATAAACCGTACAGATGATTGTTGAACGACTTCTACTTGGACAGCTATCTCGCAACTTATTCTATTTCTCATCATATTAGAACAACAGGCATCGCAAAGAAATTAATGAAAAACATACTGTAAATTGCACTTTGACGAGATGCCCAGATACTTTCGAAATTCTTTGAAGGTGATTGGATGCGCAGGAACGTGCGCCACGATCGGCACACGTCCTTTACCCTTATAGCTGATTGTCATCAGTGGTTTCGACTCTGTAGCACCACCACCGCCACCTCGTGAACGCCTTCAATTGTTGTTCGGTACGAGATAAAATGAAATGTCTGTCTAAGATTATTGAATAAATATCATTCTATAAGGGTCGACGACTCTCTATCAAAAAATTGATCCTATATTTTTCAAAAACACTCACAAATGATCACATCTGAAAGTAACCAACTTAGAATGACGTTACTCTTTTGTGCTTATAACGAAAGAAAGCACAACTAACGGCAACGAAGAGAAGTCATGGTGTCTGTGCGTGGATTTGCGAATGGTACAACCCGTAGCAGCCATTCCCGAAGACAAAAGTCTAGCCTTCTGGAATACAGCCGCTCGCTGAGCATCATCTCGTTGAGCATCACTAACGGATGACGGTGCCATAGACTCAATACCTGATGTGTCGTAGATAGCCATTGATTTCATATCACATCTGTAACCTTTATCTCTACCATCCAAAAACCAGTTATCCATCAATGGACGGATCGATGAGTGAATGAAACAAAATTAATCAACTCAATTGGAATAGAAATCATCATTATTGTTTCACACGAATGAACAATGTAAAAGGGTATATCCACGATAAGCAACAAAATGAATGGCTAAGTTTCATCATAAAATGTCACCGTTCCCTAGAAACCGGCTTAGCTGAGGCAGCATTCAATTGTCTGGTATGCCTGCTGCCACAGGGTGGTGGTGCAAAGCCATTCGATCCATACGGGTTGCCGCTATATGATGAATGCATCGTCGGTGAAATTGTGTAATACTGAAACCGTTCTGGAGAGCTCGATTCTGAAATTAGAAAGATGAATGAATGTTTCAGTAAAATAAATATGAACAACAAATTGTTGCTTTGAATTCAGAACTGCAATACAAAATAGCAGTGTCTAGGGCGTACGAAGAGTGTGTTGTGTGAAATGGCAACGTTCAGAACCCCGCCACCGATATCTTGCAAAGCCACTGAATTTTTAGAATCCTCGACTGTAAACCTCGTCTTCGACTTTGTGCATCCCCGACTTTTTCCTTCCCGTAACATACGATAATTTTAATGTAAACAAAACAACTGTTTCTGTGCAAAATTTTCCACTACAATAGAATTTGTAGGAGTTCAGCACCATTTATGAAATCGGAATACTTGAAAACAAATTGCGCGAAATAATCCCGCAAGTACAACATAGAGTTAAGGCTTAACTGAATAAATTTATGAAATAAGAAAAAAATATGAAAGGATGAATAAAGACAAACTTGGTGAGCGTCTTCTTAGTCGAAGAGAATGAGCATTGAACGAATCAGGAGAGTGATACGACGGTGACGGTTTGCTTGAATCATCAGCCATCCTCTGCCTCACATATCTCTCTAATTCATCTTCTTCTTCGCCAGCATTCGGCTCAACTTCTTTTACAACTTCACGTGCCGAACATTTTCTACTCTTAAAATTTACGTTTATTAACATATACATATAAAGTATCGAACTAATCACCTCAATATCTCGTAGTTGTTGGCTCATTACATCATTTCTTCTCCGTCTAGCTGATAGCACATTCAGCTTGTCGATGAGAAGGTTCGCAAACGCTCTTCGTCCCTCTTCTGTGCAGTGCGTTGGTACAGTCGTACAATCCGGTCGTTCCACCCTCTACAAAATCACTTGGTTAAACATTTGTCGAAACTGAAATGTCAAACAGTTCAGCTAATAAATGAAATGCAATGAAATTCACGGCGAGTGTGTGCGTGGCTGGATTGCCTCTGAGTTGTTCTTCCCGAATTGTGCTCAATTTCATCGTTGTATTCTGACCATTTGCATCACTCGAGAACGTCGACGAAACGGCTGAATCGTTTTTGCTTGTCGTTGCATTACAAACATATGGTGCTTTTACAACTGGCGGATACAACTTCTCTAATTCACTGAAATTCAATATTCCTATAGCAATGAGAAACATTTCAGTGTAAAGTTACAAATCTCAATTATTATTTACTCAGAAGTAATATATTTTTTTGGAAAGAAAAAAGTCGAGCATAACTGTGATGAATCTGATAGGAATTATAAACACAGCTATTAACCTTTCACCGAGAGTGTTCTCACGATCATATTGGGTTTTTAACAACATTTCAGCGGTGAGTGTTGGTTGGTGAGCGTTCTTACGGGGTTTGCGTGTTGGAGTCGGAGTCATTAATGACGATATTCGAGGTGGTTTCTGAGTGGTGCTACTCATCGGATGAACCGCCAAAAAATCTTCCGATCGATTGTAAGCGTCCAAAAATTCTTCAGAGCAAACGAATTGAGCGTGTTGCTGTCGCAAGTACTGTTCAACAGGCGATATAAGAACATCGAATACGGTTGAATCTGGATCACTTGCTGACAGCGAGTGCACTCGAGAACTCACTTCACGTCGTAAACCCTTGAATCATTAATTGACCGTGTGAGATAAATCAAAACGGTGGCTTCTGATTTCGGCGATAAGCGTAACTAGCGGAAAAGACAAGTCAGATGCTTGCACTAATGTAAACTTAAAAGATAATGATTGAATCACAGTCATACAAGTGATGGAACCCCAAACGAGCATCACTGCGGTCTTGAGTAAGCCAACTTTAAAGTACTCATTTTGGCTACTTAATTACAGAGGATGCTAGCAAAGGCAAATAATCTTGAATGAAGTAAACGCAACGAAGTATAGAAAACGTACGTCTTGTAAAAAGGAGCATACACCCGTATTGACACTTACGTACTTTTGGTGCAATTTCTTCGCCAGCTCAGCAGCACGCACATTTTGTTTAGCACACATATTTCTGAAAATGAATAAAAATTTAAATTGGTCCAGTAGACAGAAATACTTTGAAAGTAATCCCGTTAATCACACACATTCTGTGTAAACATCACTATCTCAAAGACTATCGAGAATTTCAACACGACAACAAAACATATTAGGTGCTATGCTCAACATATGCAAACCATTATTCCTATGACCGTAATCTTTGAACAGCTTACTTCTTTTTTTCGCATCAACTCAAAAAACTTCACCTTCTTTTCAAAGTGTGCTGCAAACGGGTATAATACACTGCACCATTCACGCATTCCTCTAAATAAAAAACAAGTGTCTAGTCGTCGAACCTGATTTCTGAACTAATGCTATCGGCGGTCATAATTACTTACTCAATCCATATATATA